GGGGGGGGGGGGGGGGGGGGGGGGGGGGGGGGGGGGGGGGTTTAAGGTGGAAGAGAAGAGAATCAGATTGGGATGGCAAGATGCAGTTGATGCAATGCAGTTGATGCGAGGTGCTGTGGATGAGCGAGAAGAGCAAGCAAGAGGGCAGAGTGCGGCAAAGATGTGCTGAGGGAGCGATCACGCCACGTGCCCATTGGCGAGCGGAGCTGTGGCCTTTTCGGCTATCGACTTGGCGATGTTCGCAGCACCACTAGCGACATTTCGCGCCGTCTCCGTTGCATTCTCCAGCGACGCGGTGGTGGCAGCGGCGGCGACAGCAGCGCTGAGGTCGACAGCATCCAAAAATGGAGCAAATACGGCCTCTTTGTTCTTAAAGTCGTTGTGGACAACATTGACCAAGAACCAAGATTGGTCGGCCTGGAGATCTGGCGATGTGCCGGGCGTCACGTCTCCCGACGCGTTGCCAAAGATGCTCTCCAGCAAACGTCGACTTTGCGATCCGGGCGGGTAGACGCGTGCCCAGTGCCTGCCAATCTCATACGCTTCGTCCTTCCATGCCAAAAAGGAGATGCTCTCGACGATGGTAGGTTGGATGATCTCCTTGTGCGGGAAACAACCCCAAGTGACGGCACAGGGAGCTTCCGAGGTGGTGTTCGTACGCATGTCGCCGCGAGCATTGACGACGTGGTAGGTGATTTGAGGGTCTTGTTCCAGCTTCGAGATCAGCCCGTCCACTTGCGAAGGGGCGACAAAGAACTCCAAGTAGGCCTGCGGGTGGGCAAGAAAGTGATGAGATGGCGGCGCAGACGAGAAGGAAGAAAGCACGATCCCCACGAACCTTTTGGTACACGTATCCATTTTTGGGTCCCCAGCCGTGCACGGGGTCGTCTGAGCGAGCACCATCTACGGACGGCTGACTGTTGATGGTAAAGAAGCCCTTTTGGTTCATCGATACGAGCTTGTCATTGATGACGGTCGTCTCCTTGGCAATGGCAGTCTCGCTCCAAGGCAGCGCCTTGATGTCGCCCTTGCAAAAGCCGGTAAAGAGCTGCTTCACCTGTTCCAACGAAGTAGGCTCTCCCCACAATTCCCTCGCTTCGGCTTCCGAATATCGCAGCTTGACACCGTAAGCGTCGACGTCGCCGTACGCGGGCGACCTTGCATCTCCCCACCTTCCATTTGGAAATTCGTCCCACGTCTCTGTCCTGTCTACGTACGACTTGGCCCTGTTGGCCCAAAAGATGGGCCGAATGCCCTCGTCTCGTCGCTTGGGCGTCAAGGAGGGTGTCCATGGCAGCGCCTTGACTTGCTGAGGAGAGGGAGACAAGGCGAGGTAATCGAGAAGCATGCGCGAGCCTCGCTCGAGGTTCATGGTGTAGATGTGCAAGCCGGATATGCGCAAGCCTTCTTTGGGATCAATGATGCGCCTGCACAGATCGCCGACGAGTTGCGTGCCGACTTCTCGCACCTTGGCATCATCGTCCTTGACGGGCTCGAGGGCATCGTGAAAGTATTGAGGGACGATGGTTCTGAACCTCGCTGTAGCTCGTTGGAAGCCGCCGTAGGTCTGAATGGGCATGACGCCGGGCACGATGGGACAGGTGATGCCAGCAGCGCGCACGTCCCTGACCCACTGGGCGAAAATGTCGAAATCGTAAAACATTTGCGTAAATATAAAGTCTGCGCCAGCATCGATCTTGTCCTTCAACCTTTCCAACTCCATCTTTTTGCCTTCGAGCGACTCCGGATGACCTTCGGGAAAGCCGGCGACTGCGATGGCAAAGTAGTCGCCGTAGCCCTGTCGAATGTACTGCACCAGCTCCTTGGCGTACTCGAAGCCGGCCTCGTGCTTCTCCCAAGCTCCACCTCCAGCGGGAGGATCTCCGCGGAGAGCGAGGATGTTTCTGCAACCAAACTGTTTCGCCTCTCGCAGTGCCACATCGACTTTGGATCTGGGCATGTTGGTGCAGGTCAAGTGCATGCACGTCTCTAATCCCATGTAGGTGTGCACCGTCTTGACCAGCTGAGCCGTCAGATCGGATGTCCGGCCACCGGCATTCCATGTGATGTCGACGAATGCGGGTCCGAGATCCGCCATCCTTTCGATGCGGTCGTACAAGTTGGTGAGACCTTGCGCGGTGCGAGGTGGAAAGTACTCGAAGCTCCACCAGATCCTTCCTTCCCTCTCCGCCTTGGCGATCTTGGTCGTGATGCGCCAGTCCGTATTGGCTTCCTGCTTACCATCCTGCTGTTGCTGCTGCTGCGTTGGCGACAATGGCGCAGGCGGAGAGCTCAACGAGGGTGTCATGTTGTGCGGGCGATGCGTGTGAGGAATGGGGTCGTGCGCGCGAAACAGTGGTGGCGGTCAGCGTGCTCAAGCAGATCTCCGGGGATTAAATGTGCGTGAGATCACGAGTTGCTGCGACGCGGTGTGCCCACAATTTAGGTGAAGTGATGTGGACAAAGTGGCAGAGTGAGGAGTGAGTGTGAGGAGCGTGGGGGTGGGGGGATGAGAGTGGTGAATGCGCGCTGAATCTACAATGGCGGTGAATGGGGATGATGCTCATCGAATCAAATCAAGCAAATCGCTCCATTTCGCGAGTCAAGCAAGGTGTCGCCTCCAGCATGTCTTAATTTGTATTGGAAGAAAGCTTCGCGCGCGCGCACGTACATGCGCGTGCATGCGTGCAGTCCAGCACAAAGTCACGAGTCACGAGTCGCGGGCACCTCCTCGGTCTTGCGGGCTTCGTGCGTGCGACGTGAGATGCGAGGTTGTTCAAACATGCTGCAGCGGTCTCGCGTGCAATCCTGGCCATATTTGTAATGAAGCATTTCAAGATTGCGGACCAGATCTCATCTTTCTCGCTCGCCGAAGATTACAAATCGAACCACTGCTCTGCTATTCTCACTCAAACTCCGAAGGTGAAACCCCGGCTTTCCAATTATAATTCTCACACGGCGCTCTCTCGGCATGCAACGAACGGTCCGTGCGCTCCATGCTGCTGATGCCTCTCTTTTCTCGCAAGCGGCACATCGAGGCAAACGTTGCGCCCAAGAGCGAACGTGTGGCCCCCGGTATATTCAAGATTGTACAGCTCGCGCGGCCGCTCGCTGCTTCGGGGGCACCCTGGGCATGCATCGCCGCTGCAGTCTAATCACCCAAACGATGAATCGTGAGTGTCTCGATGATCAAATCATCTGGAACGCAGCCTCAAGAGTCATGCGAATCGCGCTTGCCCTGCTATAGCTTCACGAGCTCCCGACGATCACACGGAGGCGTGCACACTTGCAAGCGTCACACACAGGACTGGCGCGGCAAGGTGTCTCATGAATGCTTCGTTGTCACAAGTGCGTGGGGTCGATTGGCAGCGGAAAGGCGTGTCGAGGTACAGATTACATGTTACACGGTGTGTCGAGTTTCGCGGAACGTTGGTGAGGCGAGCGGGGGTCGTGGCGCGCATGACGCGGGGTACGTGGTGATGATGATTTGGGCGCGGCGCAGTAAGCGCGACGCAGGGCTCGAAACAGTGCTCATCTCATGGGATGAATTTCTTATTGGAACAAAAAGCAGTGCCGTCTGCTCGACTGCTGAGAAAAGTGGACCACTAACCGCATTTGGCCTAGTGTGTCATTGTATCAATGCACGCGCATGTCGCGCCTCTTCAATAAGCCTCGCCATCGTCGTCGTCATCGTCTTCCGGTTCTTGATAGCTGCTTGCCATGGCTCTGATGCGTCTGGCATCTTCATCCAGATCCGCATCACCATCGGCTTCCTCCTCATCGTAGTCCTCTTCATTCGCAGATACACCTTGATCCGTGCCAGAGCCAGCTGCGCCAGCGCGTGCAGGAGTGGCATTGCCATCCTCTGTGCCGCTCGCATTGCTCGAAGCGGCAGAGATCGCCTTTTTCGCCTTGTGTCTCTTCATCTCTCGAGACTCCTTTCTGCTTCCCTTGGCAGTGGATGGCGCTTCGTTCGTCTCTAGTTCGATCGTCTCGTACTCAAACTCCGAAGCCGACGTCTCTGCGTCCGAATTGTAGTAGTTCTGAGCCGGCCCGCTCGCTCCTTCTTGCTCTCCCTCTTGGCGCACACGACGTCCGCGTCTGCGTCCGCGTCGAGAGGTCGATGCCCATGGTTGCGTAGTCGAGTGCATGTTGAGATCATCCGCAGCGGGATTGCCCGTCTCGAAGAGCGAGCTGAGATTGGCATAATTCAACTTGCGGCTGAATTGCTTCTTTGCGTGGATCATTTGCTGCGTCGACTCCAATGCCGATGTCGGTGCCGTGCTCGAATCCTTCGGCTTTGCCGATTTGCGCTTCACACACATTTGCGTCAGTCAAAGAAGAGCCCAGCATCCTCTCTGGCGCGGTACTCACCCTCGAAGGAGTCTTGGGCTGTATGCCCATCTTGAGGTCGCGCTCCAGCTTGAGCTGCTTCTCCAAGCTGGTTTGCAGGAAGTCCTTGTTGAACTCGAGCCAGACGCGCTCCTTTGCGCGAGATTCCTCTGGTGTGAGAATGAACACATCGAGTTCCTCGTCGTTGAGATCCGTGAGGTCATCGTGCAGCTCTTGCGAGCCGCTCTTCTTCTCAGATGGGGGTAGGTAACCAGCACCAGACCATGTGGTGGCAAAAGGCACCTCGTCTGGCTCCAACACTTCGCGGTGAGGTGATGCGCGAGTGTTGGCTGGAGGTCCGACTTGGCTTGAACTGGTCTTGATGACGACGTCCTCAGCACCGCTGTTTGCGTGACTCGGGCTCGCTTTTTCGACATTGCCCTCCACCTGGCTGCCGCTCGTCTTGATGGCATCCGTCGTAGCTTGAATGCAAGTCATTTCGCGAGCAGGTGATGGGCGCAGCGCTCGAATGTCCTCCAACTCGCTCTCGTCATTACCGGGGACGCCAGCCTTGGCTCTTGCCGCTCTGCGTTGCTCGAGCTCGGCGACCTGTTTGTCCAGCCTAGCGTAGTCGACACGGTCCATATAGCGCATCAATTCGTCCTCGGTGAGTTTGGTGATCATTCTATCAAGCTCAGGTGGCACTTCGCTCGCATCCGACAGCGCGCCCTCGTCGTCGTCATTATCCGCTCCAGCGGCCTCGTCTTCCGCATCTGCATCCTCATTGTCGGTCTTGGCAGCCGCCTCTGGTGCCTCTTGCGCACTCGAGTTCCCCCCCTTCGACGTTCTTTGGCGTTTGGCGAGCTTGCTGCCGTCAATCGGTTTGATTGCTCGTTTCGTACCTTTGGACCGCGGAGGTTTGAAGCTGGGAGGCAAGCTATAGCTTTCGTCCCACCTCGTGCGAAAGTCGTGTATGGGAAGATTGGCCATGGGAGTGTTTTTGAACTCCTTCAGCCTTTCTCGAATGGTGCTGTCCGCAATCTTGACGACTTGAACGACTTCGGTGATGCTACGCCTAAAACCGTTCATTCTGGCAGCTAGGAGAATGCAAGCACCGCATATACCCGCTGGTCTGCGACCATCGACCAACCAATCGTGCTTGAAGCGCGCGACGAGTCGAGTGGCATCCGTCGCCACATTGTTGGTCAAGTCGCCAAAGTCGAGCATGGAAGCGAAGCGCATTACGAAGCGCGAAGGATCGACCGCATCCTTGATGCCCTCCTTGTCGCGAAAGTTTAGACAATCCACCAAGCGCTGGTATGCGCGTCCTAGGATGAACACGTTCACCTGAGCGGGGGTGACGTGCGTGTCAGGGGAAGCGAGCATGAGGTGCGCGCACGCACACGACTCACCTGGAGAGCGTCGGCAAAATCGATGAGCAGGTGGTTGGTCTTGGCGAGGCGGCAGGAGAGGTAGAGGCAAGCCGCCTGCGTATACTCTGATCTCCTTCCCAGCACAAAGTTGGGCAGCTTGGGTCCATTCTCCCGCGCAGTGCCACCGCCCAACGCCAGCTTGAACAGTCGAGAGGCTTGCTCCGCGACTGAACTGGGAACGTTTTTGGCGCTTGCCAGCGCTCGGATGCCTCGTTGTGCCGAGAGCAGCGTCATGGTCGTGGAGTTGGAGCCTGAGCCCGACATGCCCCTCATGCCTGCCAGAGAACTGCGTGCGCCCGCTGTAGGGAGAGAGAGATGTGGTTAGTCAATGTGCGTGCGTGCGTGCGTGCGTGCGTCACTCACTGGCATCGTCGGCGACGTAGCTGCCTTGCACCACAGCTCCACCAAAGCTGTTTTCTGCGAATCCAACATCGTTGACGATTTCCGACTCTTCCAATACCGTGCCGCACACTTCGCACGATAGCGTATTGCCGGAGAGTGCGGTGGTCTCTTGGCCACACTGTGGGCACGCAGCCAACATGGTGGCTGGCCTGCCCCAGGCAGGATGACTGAATCGGCGAGTGCTCGGTGTGCAAGCGTGTGGAGCATGCGCGCAGCCACGAGCGCCGCGTTGTGAAAGGAGACGTGGGGCCCAGCGATGGTGATGAAAGTCAAAGAGTAGCGAGTGGGATGGCGACGTGCGGTGCGGTGCGGTGCGTCCACTGGTGAAGCGATTGAATGCGCGCGCCCTCGAGTCATGAGGAAATCATCACGAATCTTGGGCGTTTGCTTTGCGAGTCACGTGTTTGCAAGCTTTGCGCGTGCGGCACACGCGATGTCGCGCCAATTAACAGAGGTGTGAGAGAGACGCGTCGCGCGCGGGTGCTGTGCGGTGCGGTGCGGTCAAGTGCGCATGCAGCAGCAGCAGCAGCAGCAGCGAGCGCAACGAGAAAGTCGAGTCGCGTGCGTGTGTGGGCTGAGCAACGCGGCCAGATGTTGCTTGATTGCCACCACAACGTGCGCACTCACACACACTCACACTCACACACTCACTCACACTCACCATCGCGCTCAACCGTCGCAAGGAAGCTTTGATAGGTATTTTCAGGAGACCTTGCTCCACCGACACCCATCCTCTGCTTCTCGTCCCCGCACCCGCACCCGCACCCGCGCCGGCGCCGCCATCACCATGGTGCACGCTCTGACGGCCGGCAGCATTCCTGCGATGGTGCAGACCATGGACCCTGCCCAAGCCGTGCCCGATCCCATCTGCCAAGTCTTGAGCGTGAAAAAGATTACCGCCACCAGCGCCACAGCGCAAGATAGGTGGAGAATCATCCTTAGCGATGGCCAACATTTTGCGCAGGGTGAGTTTAGCGTCCGAGCGTCGGTGCGCAGAAACGTGGCCCTGCTGATCTTCTCTGATCTTCCCTTCTCTCACGTCACAGCCATGCTGGCTTCCCAGATGAAGCATCTCGTCGATGATGGCTCGCTGCAGCGCAACTGCATCGTGCGCGTCGAGCAGTACTCGGCCAGCAATGTCCAGACGCGACGCATCCTCATCCTCTTGACGCTGTCCGTCATCGAGGCACCGCCAGCCGAAGGTCGCTTGGGAGAGCCAGTCAGCTATGAAGGCGCTACCACGGGAGGCGCAGTCGGTGCCCCTGCCTCTGCCGCTGCTTATGCGGCACCTGCTGCGAATGGCGGCGGCGGCGGCGGCTCGGCTGTCAAACGAGAGGCAAAGACGTACCCGCAGCAGCAACCTCAAGGCACCATTCGAGCCGCACCGGCGAGGAGCGCACCGGCATCCGGCATGGCCATCTACCCCATCGAGGGTTTGTCGCCCTACCAGAACAAGTGGACCATCAAGGCTCGCGTCACGTCCAAGTCGGATATCAAGCACTGGTCCAATGCGCGCGGAGATGGAAAGCTATTTTCCGTAAATCTCCTCGACGAGAGTGGAGAGATCAAAGCTACCGGTTTCAACGACGCCGTCGACAAGTACTACCACGTGCTGCAGGACAACAAAGTGTACTTCATCTCCAAGGCCAAGGTAAACATCGCCAAGAAGCAGTTCAGCAACCTCAACAACGAGTACGAGATTACGTTTGAGCGCGACACGGAAATCGAAGAGGTGAGTGGGAGTGTGTGTGCTGGCATCCGCGTGTGTGTGTTCTTGCTCACGCATCGTGTCCCGCAGTGCACGGCTCCAGAGGGCGTGCCAGAAGTCAAGTACAATTTCGTGTCTTTTGATCAATTAGAAACGGTCGAGCCAAACGAGACGTGCGACATCATCGCTGTCGTCGACGACGTTGGCGTGCTCGGCGAAATCATATCCAAGGCGAGCCAAAAGCCAGTGGCCAAGAGGGAGCTCAAATTGGTAGATCAGTCTGGCAGGTCGGTGCAGATTACGCTCTGGGGCAAGACGGCCGAGACGTGGGGTACACCGCAAGGTCCCAATGGTGGTCTGGGGTTGGGCAACGAGGATAGGCCCATCATCGCTCTGAAGGGAGCCAAGGTGTCAGACTTTGGAGGTCGCAGTCTGAGCATGTTTGCCAGCACCTCGCTCATGGTCGATCCAGACCTGCCCGAAGCGCATGGTCTGCGTGGCTGGTACGATGAGGAGGGCAAACGCACCTCCGAGCAAGGTGGATTCAAGGCTTTTGCGAATGGCCCAGCGGCAACGACGGCGGGCGGTGATGCGGGTGCGAACGCGCAGGAGAGGAGAACGATCGCAGAGGTCAAGGATCAAGGATTGGGCATGCAATCCGAAAAGCCAGACTATTTCAACACGAGGGCGACGGTGGTGTACATCAAACAGGACAATTTGTTCTACACTGCCTGTCCCTCTGACAATTGCAACAAGAAGGTCACGCAAGAGAGCGATGGATCTTGGAGGTGCGAAAAGTGCGACCGAGCTTATCCCTCACCGCAGTACAGGTGAGTCTTCGCTAGCGTGCCGCCCTGCGTGCCCCGCTGACAAGCTCGCCTTGCAGATACATTCTCGCGGCCAATGTGCAAGACTATTCGGGGCAGATGTGGCTAAGCGGGTTCAATGATATCGGAGAGCTCCTCATTGGTCACACTGCCGACGAGCTCAATGACATCAAGGTGTGTCGACGTGAAGAGAGAGATGCGCGTTGTGTATGCTGACGGCGCGCGCACGCACTCGCAGGAGCAAAACGAATCGGAGTTCCACTCGATCTTGCATCGCGCTTCCAATAGGCAGTATATCTTCAATTGCCGTGCCAAGCAAGACACGTTTAATGTGAGTTGCGGCGGCGCGAAGCGCGCCTTCTTCGCACGCTGATGCTTGCGGGCGTTTTGCAGGACACGACTCGTGTGAGGTACACGGTCACGCGCGCAAAGGAACTTTCTAGTGCTGCAGACTTTAGCAAGTTTGGTCTCGAGCTGGCCAACGCCATCAAGTCCTTGATGTGAGGGGCCTAGTATCGTTGTTGCAAAGAAAGAGGCGCGGGGGGAGAGGCGGCCCACGAGCTCGACTCGCTTCCTCATCACATGCCGCGATTCGTCCCATGACCCTCCCCGTCCATTCTGCTCCTGTTGCGCGCTTTGATTTGTGCGTGCTTCTTTGTAATATCGAAGCAATCGCCTGCGCACATGATAATGTGCGAGAGCAATGAGTTGTGGTCATGTTGTAACGTGACACGTATAGCGATGCTGACGCGGCACACTTGGAGCTCGACGGGAACGGTCGCTTCAGCATACAAAGCACAGTCATGGCCAGCACGCACACCGCACGCGTTGCGATAGAGACCGTCTTTTCATTGTTTCGCACCAAATGACTTCACGTAGAGCAGATTCGTCGGGGCGCGTGACACGAAACAATGATCCGAGACATCTCCTCGAAGGCGGCCTTTGCGCGTGCGCCGACATCACATTCATGCGATCGACTTGAGCACACTTCGCAGCTGCAGCAGGTCCACGCACGCGATCGATTGAATGACCTCGTCATCCGTGCAGCCTCAAAGCACATCCATGCGATCCATCTCTCCATCGCCAAGTCCGTACTCGACGCTGCTGACCTCGCTCGCCCAATCGTCGTCCTCGTCGCGCGTTGCGTAGGACGCATCGTCCGCCTCTTCCTGTGCGTCGTTCCGCCGCCGCACACACACTTCGTCTTCCCCCATGCCAGATCTTCCAGCGCGCCGAAACTCCCTTTTTCGAACGGGTTTGGGTATCTGCCCGGGAAGTGGAGCCTTTGGAAATGCTCTGATGCTCGCTCCCTTGCCCTTGGCAGGCCCGCTCTTCTTGGCTTCCAGAGCTTCTCGTCCCTTGGCGTGGCCCCACGTGCTCTTTTGACCTGGCTTGCTCGACGCGGCCGCAGCCGCAATCTCTGCCTTTTCCGCCTCCAAATCCAGCGCTTCGTGTCCAGCCGCAAAGAGCGTCTCGAAATGTCTCGCTTGCCTGGCTCGAGCCGCTTGCCGCGCACCTCGCGTCTGGGGCGAAGCCAAGGTCAAGCACGCAAAGCTGGCGTCGTCTGTCGCGTATGAGGAAGGGTCGGAGGAGTGCTCGGGACGCGCAAGCAACCGGGATACGTCTCCATCGGCGTCGTTATAGTCGTAGTTGCCACTGGGAGCGCCGCGCCTTTGATACTGACGCAAACGTATCTGAACGGCTGCCTCTTCGTCCTCTGCATCAATTACCAGCATCTCGGCGGGACTGTTTGCACGCTTGGCCGCCGCCTCTAGCGCTTCTGCCTCTTCGCGTTCGATCAGCGCAAATTCAGCGTTGTCCATTGTCATTTGTGCTACATCGCTCTCCGCGCCCGACTCGTCCGCCTCGTCTGCCTCGGCTGGACTTGTCAGTAGTGTTGCAGAGCTCGGCCGAGGTGACCAGCTAGGCTGTCGTGCGAGCGTGTCGATCGATGAATCTCGTCGTCGCGCCATAGGAGATGGGTCGAAGAGCGCCTTGAAGCTTGCAGCGCGTTTCGGAGAAGACGCAAACAGGCCATCGTTATCCGCGTGCATGGGTGCGACCGGCGAGCTGAGACTCCTTGCCCAGCTCTTTGATCCACCTGCATCTTCGACCTGCTCATTCTGGACCAGCTGACCAGCACCCCTCGCCCGCTTGCTTCTTGCAGGCGTGACCGGCACTTCTTCGCCTCGCAGACGTTTTCGAGCTTTTGTGCGAGGCGTAAATGTCGCGCGCAGAGCTTCCTCTATGCGCGTGCTCTGTCTCTGCCTCAGATGTGCCCGGGTGTTTGGCGAGCGGGAGCTGCTGAGAAGAGTGCGCAATGCGGTCGGCGAATTGGAAGCGTACTGGCCACGTCCGCTGGAAGGAGTGGTCAGCACGTCGTTGAGGACTACGCTGCGCGCTGAAGAAGCCGAACTTGGAGCGCGCGTGCCGCGCACAGGCGTCGAGAAGACTGCTTCCTTGCCGATGATGCGCTGACTGGTAGGTGTCGCAAATGGATTCCGAGGCGGTGTGATCGGATTCGCTGGCGTGGCGAGCTTTGTGGGGGTGTAGCTTGCGCTTGTACCAGCGCCTCCAGTCGCACCATATCGCACTCGCTTCGTCGGTGTCTTGAACACCGCATCGTTTGCGGGTGCAGACCCTTCCTTCTTGGGCTTGCTAGGGCCCGCCTTGCTGGCAGATTTGATGGCCGCCCACGTCTCGTACGTTCCCGCAATCTCCGGATGCTTGGCCATGTCCCTTTTCGTCGGTTCGCGACCGTTCTGGAGTGTGTACCGCGCGGGCGTCAGCTCTGCACCATGATCAAGGCGCGTGCCGTCCCTCACCTTTTGTCTGAAATCTCTCTGCCATGCTTTCAGGTCTCGAGCAAGGATGGCCTCCATTGTGAAGTGCGTGGTGCTTGGTGCGTGGTGCGTGGTGCGTGGTGCGTGGTGCTTGGTGCGTCACCACAGGGTGACAAAGTCGTGTGCGCGATGATGGTATGGAACGTGATCCCACCGACGAGGCGTGCTTCGATTGGCGCTCTTGTGGCATGGATCGAGACAAGAGACACGAGTCATGAGAAAGACGCGCACCGCCACACGCGACTTGCTAATGTGCGTGGGACGCGTCGCGCGAGGCGGCGAGAAATGGTGCAAACACCGTTGCACTTTATATATGAGCTTGTGATGAGAGTACCGCACTGCAGAGATATCCAAGTGGTTAAAGGAATCTGATTCAAGTTTACCCACTTTCACGTGTAATCGTGAATCCTCAGACGCGTTAGCTTCAAGGGTTCGACTCCCTTTCTCTGCAAACTTTTTTCTCCATTTTTAACACGTTCGTCACGTTCTTACCACCTGCTCTGCATTCTTGCAACACTTTATCTCTCACTTTGCCCGACCCAGCTAAACAAAGTACTAGGCTTTTTCATAAACAACACTTTTGCTTAAAGTGACTCCTTTTCGCACTCCGCACGGTGACTCGGTCAGGGTGTCCCTACGCAAAATTTGCATCCGAAATTGAAATCTTCACGGCCACTTCTCTGTACGGGCAGGCAAGCCTTGCATGGCATATTGCCTGACAAGCTCCTAATCCTTGCTTTGTACCCGGCTCAGAAGGACAGGAATCGCCGAGAAATGCTACGGGGTGTAGCCGTGACAGTGTAATTCTTGCTCCATTGGCGTATCTTCATGAGCAAAGATCATTGCGGCTATCTCATCCAGCTGGCAAGTTGCTGTACCATTCATACAGCTGTTAGGGTTAGGGTTAGGGTTAGGGTTAGGGTTAGGGTTAGGGTTACAAGGGGGTCCCCAATAGGGTTTTTGGAGTTTGTGTTATAGGCATCTAGA